GCAATGCGTGAGTGGGCCACACTGTCATACACAGCTGTATTCATGCTGACGCCTAAATGTAGTTGGCGACGTACTCATTTCGGAGTTTAGTCCTCGCCGTCCCATGACAGAGCAGTTCGAGACGCAAACTCTCAAAGAGAAACTGTCTGGATGGGAACGCAAGCTACCAGAGAACTTTCGGGTGTCGCCCCTGGACGGCAATCTCGGTGCCCCTTTTTGGGCCAGCATGCTGCATTTTAACTATCAGTGAGTGAACCCCCACAATAGATATTTACGCGTGATTTGCTTATGCAATACCCAGATACTGCCAAATACTTCTGTTTCGCCCGAAGTCCATTGAGATAGTCTCCCAGGAAGAGAAGGAACGGGACTCACGAGCACGCATGGCAGCAGACGCCATCACTCGCAATGCAGAAGACCAACTTTCTGCAGACACCATTAGATATGCACAAATCCATCTGTAAGCACTTCGATTCCTCGATGAGAGCCATGCTCACCCGGCTACAGAGTACCGGCTTTGTTCGGCGCCCTGTCCATGCATACCATCGAAATCTGCCGCAAGGACTCGATTCGCCGGCAGCTGGCGGAGAATAAATCACGCCAATGTCTCTTGGCGTTGGGCGAATTATCAAAGTCCTGGCCAGTAAGGATTTGGATCTCGAAATCGTTTGTCAGTCTGATGACGAGATTGACTGGCCAAGACTCAGCCCCTTCTGGCGGTGCTATTGTCAGAGTTTCCTCAAGCATTGTGAGTACCTTCTCAACAAACGCACCAGTACTAGCAATTAATTACATGATGCGCAGCACCCTACGAGCCCAGATGGTCAGTCTCTTCACCAGACTGTCAATGACAACCAGGCTACCTCTGGTGGTGGAGGTGGACACCAGGACACAACTGCAACGCTCAACGACGGCTCGCAAACCCGGGACTTCGACCCCTATGACATTACTCAAGCGAATCCCCATCTATTTTATGACAACTTTTGGACCTCATATCTAGACAATGCCTTTGATGTGGACTTACTCATCCATCCTAATTCGGGTCTTTTTTGAGCTGCAGGACTTCAGGTTTCATTGGTTTTCGTCTACACGATAAGATTATTGGATTATTTTGCTACTATTCACGCATAATACCGGACTTTTGAATGAAACACATGGCCTCCGTATCTTGTGTCAACTTTGTTGTCCCCGGTTCAATATGCGCCACACTGTACTTCGCGAAACCGTGCTGGAATGCGCCCACAACACTGACTTGGTCGATTCAAGCTATCACGTTAACCCTCCAGACATATACGGAGGTGGGCTGTAGTCCGAATCATCAGTAGACGACAATCGTCTCTTCCGCCTTGAGGTACTCTCATATTCGGCCGGCGATTCCAGACTGTAGGTAGGTCTTTGGGAAGCCTGCCGTTGCGGTTGCCTTCTTTTCAATCCATTTCCCTCACTGTTAAATGATTCCGAGGAGTTCGAAGAGCTGGAAGCCCTCACAGGTGCAAACCTCCTGGTCTCTTGCGGAGGGGCTCGTCGTATGTCCTTGGCAGATCGACTGCTTGTCCTTGATGCGTTGATTGGTTGAAATCCAGAGACCTCTGTAGATCTCTGTACATCGATAACTTCAGCTGGCGTTCCTCTCACATTCTTTCGGGTTCCCGTGCCCGTTCGGATTTTCTTGAGTGGTGATGCAGTTGCAGCTTCTCCGGATGCTGTGATATAAACCGTTCCAGCTTATCGTCAAATGCCGGTCCTTCACCTGCTGTTGACTGAGATCGCATCGGTCGTTTTCCTTTTGCTTTATCAGATAATTCCGTTGTAGGCAACGGTTCACTTGGATGTGCAACAGTCGATGATGATTGGGTACGTGGCGGTTTAATTGGTGGCAGTGGCTGGCTCTGCGGAGATCGGTGTGGTGACAACTTGACCAAATGTGTCTGCGTCTGTGGTGGAGGGTACACCAGTCTTTTCTCTTCTGCTTTTGCTGGCAGCTTCGTGTCAGGTCGTGTTGGGTGACCCGTGGGAGATTGAAACGTGTCCGACTGAGTCAACGCCTGTTGCATCTCAACAGGATGATTAAATGCAACGATGGCTTGCCACAGCGCACGGTTTACCGCCATTGTGTCACCTGCAGCCTCCTTGTTGTCGAGTAGTGACTTCAGAGAGAGGTAAAGTCTCGCCCCCGGACTGTTATTTCGCATTGCCAGCGCCCAATGTAGCAGATATGTGTAAAACAGCTTGCACCAGTTGAGGGTGCAGCGGTTGATGGGGACCTCGGGATCTGTCACCAGAGCAGCGTATCCTTGCTTTGTTGCGAAAGTGAAGTCAAAGTCAATGGAGGCTGTCCCAGATACTCGGTCTTTGAACTCTCGGAAGAAGTCATCAATGCCGTCCGTTTCGTCATGTTCCAACACAAATTCAGCCATCAAGGGCACCCTCCACGGCCCCTCGAGGTTGTGGCTGTTCTCAAAGTCGACGAGATACGGGTTGCCAACCAGGCATCGTCGGTCGTCGTATACAGGCGCGACCCCAGCGGCCCATAGGCGACAGTCTCCAGATGGTGCAAAAGACTGCGGCCAACTTCTTCGGGATTTGTAAAGAGCCGTTCGAGGCTGATCCAGTCAACAAATGGCTTTACAGACGCGTTGGACGTTCTCGGACCATTGATCCATTTGTACTCAGTATCAGGATTCCACGAAACATTTGATCCTGTGATAAGTTTATCAGCGAATAAACAGGTGAGAGAAGGGCCATAGAATCCATTACCAGTCAGGCGCCGCAAGAATCGTACGAGAAAATTCAGGACGTAATCCCATGAACTTGGGAGAGCGGCAATGTTCGAGGACTTGTAATTTGCGCGCAGTGCTCGTTGGATCTCTGCGTTGATGGCCTTCATGTCTTCCTCGCAGCGATATATCTTCATGTCCCAGTAGAAGAAGAGGAACGCTTCCTTCCAGTTGGCCCTCTTTGGACCAAACACATCTCCATACTCTCGGTGGTCTGAAACTTGTGTTGGTGGTGCACAAGGCGGGGTGTGAGTCGGACTGCTTGCTCCGAGTGACGCACTACAGGACATGTTATCTCCTTCGATCAATATTGTATCAGCAAGTCTGACGACAGCCACAGTGGTTGCTTTTGTTTTTCCCGTACCGATGGCACTCAAGGTTCTCAACTTTCCTCGCAGACCAGATTGACTTCCCAGGCGACACCACGGCGTCCAGTTCCGAGTTGTTTCGACAGACACGTTGCTTTGACTTCTCCACAGTTTGACAGGACGAGATCTGCGAAATGTTCATTATTCTACGGACTGATCAGCTTTAAATCTCAGGACTGTACTGTTTGATAGGGGTTTTCTGTTTGTTATTTCGGGGTGTCTTGAACAAAGAACTGAATGGGCTGCACTTGACCGTGCCTACCCGTCGAAACAACACAATTCCTGCTGAGCCGTGCAAACAGGTAAGAGCATTGACATAAAACAAGCCATTTCGCACCGTGGGTCGTACAAGAGTTAAAATTACACCAGAACTCCTTTGAGATGTTAAAGTTAAACGTCTGAAAACATCTAGAGTCATCCACGGCCGTCATACTGTGTGACACCAATTGACTTTGTTCACTCAGGCGGAATAATTAACTGCTTTCCAGGAGTATAGAATGATGAAAGATTCAGCAGCATGTTTGCCCCTACTTTGCATGTTTGCCATGCAATAGCAGTACATCTATTGTTGAATCTTTGAGAACTTTGCTCCACAGGTAGATATATCTAACCATCTAGTTAGATGCTGACGATAGCAGGGATAAGAAGAGTTACACATGTCATAATAACAATAGGGACAACAATAGAGACAATTACAGGGATGACAATAGGCATGATTTAAATAAGAAAGAGCACAAAGGCTGACGTAGTACGCTGCTCCCTTAGCTAGAAACATCTCAACTACCTTATACATCAGAACTCCCACACCAAAGAGCTTTCTCAGATAATCTTTAATTAGAAGTTACAATTATGAAGACTAAGATATAGGTAGTATAACTCACACAGACGGAAGAAATTTGCTTCAAAAGAGTGGAACTTATAAAAGGTTGGCACTGTGTTGTTATATAGTACGTCACACATATCCTGCCTTGAGCAGCATTGACAATGTTGGTACAGGTACTGGTGATGCCTTCTGACTAGTCAGTATGAGGGGTCATAAAGTAGGGGTGAAAAAGCATTGTATATTGAAGTTGTAGATGCAGCTGTGAGGGCAGTGATATGGCGTTGAGAGCCGGAGAGATCTCTGCCCTCTCATTGGCTGGATTCTGCCGCATCCAGGCTTGGGCGGTGAGTGTGGCATTATTCAGACAGACAACCCTTCTCATTCCCAGGCTTCATATCATTAAGAACTCATCTCGAAATCTCCATCAGCATGAGGACATAGGCCCTGTGCGTTGTTGTCGGCGTGGTGTATGTCAGAGTCGGAGATGCAGATCCCTTGTGTCTGCCATGGACCATGCACGGCGTTGAAAGACAACTGAGACTAGCAACTTAGGATGGGCCATCCTCGAACGATTTAGTCAATCCAAGAAGTTGCGAGAAGGGAACTCCCATCTGCACGGAATCTTCTCAACGACAGGAGAGCATGAGTGCCTGGGCTCCAGGTTCAGTATATCTTTGCTCCTGATCATCTTTCTTCAATGACACAGGTCAGCACTTCATTGGTATGAGTCCACACCTCTACAAGAACAGCAGTCACTCCATCCACGACCCGACTATGCATGACTCACACTTCGCGCCGGAGCAGTCCAAACCATCGCAGGGCTTAGCTCTCAAGGCCTTGTTCATCACCACTCTCGTCGCTCTTCTCATCGCTACGTTACTGATGTACTTCGTTGATCACCTAAGCCGGCGACACGTCTGTGTTCGCCGTCGTTTGGAAAGGTTTTGCGACTCGCAGTGCGAGCACTGGGGCAACAAACTCCCCCTCGGTCGAAGCGATGCATTCTCCTTCCTCTTCCACGACTTGCTTACTATGTCAACCGAGTCAAAGAAGATGCTGTTTGACATTCTTCGTGCTGCTGAGCTGGAGCTGGAGGGCTTCCATGGTGGTATGTTCCCTGACGAGTGGCTAGAGTTTCTCCCTTGGCGCATTGTGCAGGCTTTACATCCTGCTGTCTGTAAGTTGAAGCCCGATCACAGCACCATGGTGCGTTGGTATGACTGATTGGATACTGATTCATAAAGCCATGAGCTTGTCGGACCCACCTGCCGACAACAGTGGTTCCCAAGGGCCAGATACCATCTACGGCAGCAAGGCATGGTTCCAAACCCCTCATGATGGCCGAATCCTGCCAAAGATCGTTCATCACCCAGATATTGTCACAACCACGGGAGTGTTGCGCAACTCCCGATGGCTCAAGAATGACGACGCTTGCCTCGACAACATACTCACCGCACTAATGGAGCCCCTCATCCGGGACATGAGAGCGGCTCATCGAGGCACGCCCACAGAGGACCTGATCTTCTCCTGGGAATTCATGTTCGCCATCCGATGGGCCTGGACCGACAACCCCTACCTCGTGGACTTCCAAACCCGTCACGAGGTGCCCAACTGGGGGGTGCCTGTGCCGAAACGTCTCCTGACCGCCGATACGGACACGGGTGCGGGTCCACGTCGGCGGGTGTTCAAACCCCACTTCGGCTTTGTGGGGTTCTGGGCGGGCGCTTTCCAGATCGCCGTGGATTCCGCGGCGAGAGCGGCGCGAGTCGAGTTGGACGAGGACTTGAACATGCCGGCGCCGAAGGATTTGGAGAAGGTGCTCAACGGGTTTCGGATGCTGCACACGGCGCTTCTCTCCAATTTCGCGGACGCGTTTGATGGGAACCGCGATGCGACTGTGTCGCTGGAGGAAGTCATACAGCAGGCTTTTCACGACGCTGTGACGAGTGAATATACCCATGAAATGGACCGAGAGGTCGAGGAGCACTGGAGGGCACTCGCGAAGTGGCGGCCTTCGGGTTTTGGGTCTTTAAGTTTGCGTGTTCGATATCTTACTGACAGAGATGATTTGTGATTGTCGGAGTTGGGTCCGTAGCATAGATAGCAAGACATCCAGAAGCCAAAGTCGGTTCTCTTTCTTTTCGGAATGATATTGAACGACGCTCACCATAAAATTATCGTGCCCCATCGCAACGCGGCGCTTATCGGCTTGCCGTTGGTGATCGACCAGGGGGCCAAGAGAGGTCAAGCTCCGAACATCGACCCTTGGCATAACGGGTCCGTGGCGATCTCTTCGGCCAACGTCCATGGCTATCGCGATTCGCGAATCGCAGATGCAGGAAAGCACTGCACTGGTCGACTGGGAAGAAATTTTCACCGCCCCTCGTGACTGCGAACAATCGTCGTCGGCGTTATCACGGCGGCATTCGCCTTTATTTTTTCGACGCCACGGATTGCCTCTTTCTGCCTCCCCGTGGGATGCGCAAGCGGTAAGGACGTGTGATTGGTCGTGGAGACGGATTAGGAAGGGGGGAAATACGTTCAACCTCCGCACGTGGAGTTCTCCAGGTGCAGAGGAGGAAACAAACGAGTGGATGTGTGGTGGTACGTCATTACATAATCCTTCACCTCGAGGTTGAGAAATTCAGGGCTTTGAGTGCGCTTCATTGGTCGTCTTCATGCGTATCTGATCTTGCGGCTGGCGCAATCTCGAGATTAAACAGAGGTGCGAGTAACGTTGGATTGAACGAAAGACGGCTGCATCGTACGAGACCTCCACAGCGGTGGGATACCGATGGGTAAACGCCGATGAAGAAAGCACCCTTTGTGGCCGGAGACTCCTGTGCGGCGTTCACGTGAGGATCTTGCAGATGGAGGCTCCGAAGAAGTGGGGAGGGGGGCGGTAGACTTCATGAGCTGGTGGTGCTGTGCGTTCTTCGTTTCATCGACAGTCGGGCCGTCAAGGGAGGATTCGGATGGCCAACCTGTTGGTGATGCGGCTGGAAGGGCTTGGCTTTCCAGGTTCTGGTTCTAGATGGGACGAGAGGGGGGCGTTGGATGGAGGGCTGCGGCTGCGGCTGCGGGAGTGGCTGGCTGTTGATCGACCTCGATGTCCTGGCACACCCTGAGCAATTGTTTCTTGCAGATTAATGCTTGTGCACATGATTGCTGAGTCAGAATAATTTCACAAGAGGAAATCCCATCTCACGCACTGTCGGGATTTTAGCTACCGTCAAACAGAGACCATTGTTGTTGCGGGGAGAGGTTGGGGATGGGATGGAGAGCGAAGGATAGGTACTCACTACGCAGTACAGTAGGTCGGACTCCCTGGACGAAAGACGTCATAGTCAGAGCCGTTCGCGCTCCGCATGCCGCCTTGCCCTGTTCGGCAGTCCGACTGACTGGATGATGAAAAAGAATATGGAGACCGCAGGACCTTTTGGTGTTTGTACCCTAGCGGGCAGGCCAGGCGGCGGGAGGTGGGAATAAGCAAGACAAAAGGTTTACGGCCATGGCTCGTCATCGCCCTCGTTCAGGGAACGCACAACGACCCGCTTCCCTGTCGCGACCAATGGCATGCGCCGGAAGCGGTGCCAGGCACGGCGGACTGCTAAGCCGCCACTAGAGCCGCCTCCCTACGCCCTCCTGGAAACAAGCTTTGCAGGCCGCTTTGCCAAGCTGGCTGCCGCTCTGCCGCAACTTGGCAAAGCCGCGACAGGGCGAGAGACACCAACACAAACATCACCCAGGTCACACATTTTATATCCGGCCAACGCTTTTTTGCGGCTGTCAACGTCAACGATGGAATGACAGCAACGCAGAGGCAGCGCGTGTGTCTCATCCTCCGCAATCGCTCTGACCCTCCTCCGGACTTGCTCCTCGCATCCACCGCCTGTGGACCACGCTGTCCCGATTTTATTCCCAGACAAATGGGCGGCCAGTCGAACGTTCGGGCAAAGACGAACGGCACTAGTTGCTTTACCTCAACCCGCGCTGCATCTCAAAGTGGGACGTGCTGCGCTAGAGGTTGCCTGTTTCGCGCCACCGTCCTCTGCCGGTGATGTCACGGGTGGGTGTCTGCGCTCTGGGGACTGGGGGACTGGGGGAGATGGCTCGACCGCCTGGAGAATGCGGCCAGCTGCGCAGCCTCCTCCTCGGCCTCCGTCCGAAGATCTGGTTCTGCGGACTGAGCCTAACGTATGGACGGTTAGGCCTTTATGTGTCCTCGGTCTCCCAAGGTTGGCAAACCAGGCGTGTCTCCGAAAAGTCAGTTGTCCTACTATATTACATGTGGAAACCATCGTGATCGAAGGAGTCTTGACCTTCCCTCTTTCTTCACCTCTCGATCTCTTTAAAGATAGGGATAGGAGACCTTTACCGAAGCAATTGATAATTTCATCCGTGCATGAGAACAGCCCAACATGTCTAACGCACGCTTCGTCGACGAGCCGCCTCAGGTTATCAACCAGGCGGACCTCGACCTGGCCAACGAGAAGCTCGAGTCCCGCGATGAGAGCTCCGCCAACGGCAACACTTCCAGCGAAGATGCTGTCAAGAAAGAAGTCGACAACACCCCCGGCGCCACCCACGGCGAGCATCCGTCAAACGGCAATGGCACCAAGCTCGAGAGACTCGGCACCAACGACAAGTACGAGATCACCGAGGACGACTGCTACGATGAGCTCGGCTACTCGTTCCCCAAGTGGAAGAAGTGGACCATCCTGACCGTTATCTTCTGGGTTCAGGTGTCCATGAACTTCAACACTTCGCTCTACTCCAACGCCATCCCGGGTATCCAGGAGGAATTCGGTGTCAGCGCTCAGGCCGCCCGCTGCGGTGCCATGATCTTCTTGGTTTTGTACGCCTTCGGTTGCGAACTGTGGGCGCCGTGGTCTGAGGAATTCGGTCGCTGGCCGGTCCTCCAGCTCTCCCTCTTGTTCGTCAACATCTGGCAGATTCCGGTCGCTCTTGCCCCCAACTTCGCTACCATCATGGTCGGCCGTGCGCTCGGCGGTCTCTCGTCCGCCGGTGGCTCCGTCACCCTGGGCATGATTGCCGACTTGTTCGAGTCCGATAAGCAGCAGTACGCCGTCGCCTACGTCGTGTTCTCTTCCGTCTTCGGCTCCGTCCTCGGCCCCATCGTCGGCGGTTTCACGGAAGAGTATCTCAACTGGAGGTGGTCCATCTGGGTCCAGCTCATCTTCGGCGTCGCCATTCAGCTGATTCACGCTGTCTTCGTCCCCGAGACCCGCAGCACCATCTTGATGAACCGCATCGCCAAGAAGCGCAGGGCCGCCGGCCACCCCAACATCTGGGGCCCCGACGAGCTCGTCCCCTTCGCCGACCGCTTCTCCATGAAGGAAGTCATTTCCACCTGGGTCCGCCCCTTCAAGATGTTTCTCACCGAGCCAATCGTCCTGGTTCTGTCACTCCTCTCCGGCTTCTCTGACGCCCTTATCTTCATGTTCATCCAATCTTTCGCCCTGGTTTACAAGCAGTGGAACTTCACCACCGTCGATATTGGCCTGGCCTTCATTCCCATCGGCATTGGATACGTCATCGCCTGGCTGGCCTTCATCCCCGCCATCAAGCGCAACATCAAGGAACGTAAGGCCAAGCCCCAAGATGACCGCGCTCAGTACGAGTCTCGCCTATGGTTTCTTTTATACACCGCACCGTGTCTTCCCATCGGCCTGATCGGTTTTGCATGGACTATCCAGGGTCCTCCCATTCATTGGATCGGCTCCATGGTTTTCGCTGCCATTGTGGGTATCGCTAACTACGCCATCTACATGGCCACCATCGACTACATGATCTGCGCCTACGGACCCTACTCCGCCTCAGCTACCGGAGGAAACGGATTTGCCAGAGATTTCCTAGCTGGAGTGTTAACCATTCCCAGTGTCCCCTTCTTCTCAAATATCGGCGCTGCGAGCGGGAAGAACCTCGAGTACGCATGCACGATCCTCTTCTGCATCGCCTTTGTGCTGGTCGCCGCTGTTTTCATAATCTATTGGAAGGGACCCACGCTGCGTGCCCGGTCGCCCTTCGCCATGAAGCTTGCCGACGCCAAGGATGATGCCGGTGGTCGTCGCCCGAGTCACGTCGAGGGTGGTGCAGAAACTAGCACTGCAAACGCTGGTGACGATGCTCCCGACCGTCCCCCGTACGTCCGCCAGAGGAGCCAGAACTCGAGATTCTTTGGCGAAAGCAGAGTCACCCCCCGCGGCACCCCAAGAGGTACTCCCTCCGCAAGCAGAGCCAACAGCCGTGCCAACAGCCCTTCCAGGCGCAAGTGATGGATTCATGAGAGAGCACTTCTCGATCACTCGTTGGTTGAGAGCATAGATGTGTGGCGTTAATTTCATGACTTGATACCCTTGGCAGTTGCCTATGATCTAGATCTAGTCTAAGTCTTAATAATGATCGTTGAACCAACGAATGATTACATCTCACCACTGTGAACTATATACTGTCGTCCGCAGACAATTCGAGAGGTTTAGCAGTAAATATCGTCGTTCTAGTCGTCTTCGTCCTTGTCGTCGTTCTTGTCCTTGTCATCCTTGTCCTTGAGGCTGTCGTCGTTGTTGTTGTTGTTCGTCGTATTCGTCTCTCGCTGTCGTCTCGCGTCATTTCCCATCATCGAATATCATCGTCGTCTTCCATCGTCATCGCCTCGTCACGCGTTGGATTGACGTAGGCATCGGAATAGGCGTGGTTGTCTTTGGGTCGCATGGCCTTAAGGATATCGATAATTTTGAGGAATGTAAACATGGCCCAGATTAGAAAGGGCAAGAGCTCCTTCACGTGGCATTACTCAAGGGTCCTGCCTTATACAGCAAGCGCCTGCAGCACTTTCTCATTTGCTCCTTACCTCCCCTTGGCCGCCTAAAACGGATAATTCCTCGCCTCCACAATTGCAGACTTGACATCCCTCTCTTCACCTTTCGACTACCCGCATACTTTGCAGACATCACTCTTGTCGATCACCACGTCAAAGTTACCCCCAAACGACTAGCACAGTATGGCGACAGGGCAGCTATCCGTCCTTCCACCAGAGATTCGAGCCATGGTCTGGAAGTTTTCGCTTCCTGATGACGTGCCTGAGGTCTGCGTCTTCCAGAAGCCCTCAATATATGCCACGTCGGTATTTTCTACCTTGGTGGTCGATACTGCTTTTCCGGCCTTGGTACATGTATGTCGCGAAACCCGTTACTTCGTCTTCAACACCAAAATCAGTGGTATCTCGTTTCGTTACTCCGACCTCGCTGGCTGCGACACGCCCTATCGACCCTTCCGAAACGAACTTGATACGTTGCTCAACGCATATGGTTCTGGTGTCAACCACATTCCAACTGATGTCGACTCCACGGTAGAGACGATGGCTTCAGCTCACAATATGGAAGATATAGACGCCATGAGAGAAGTGTCGGAGCTGTCTTACATAGTCAGCAGCTTTCCAGATTTGGAGCATCTGGCAGTGCGAGTACCGGCAAGGCGCATGCACATCCTCCAAATCTTTATACGGGAAATATTGCACCACTTCTTGCCTCGACTGAAAACTGTGACGTTCGTCACGCGCAAGCCACTAGTACTGTTCAAGCCACTGGTACTGTGCAAGCCATTGGTACTGTGCAAGCCATTGGTACTGTTCAGGCCACTGATACTTTGCAAGCCACTTGTACTGGTGGTCCACTGCTACTCCCAGACTTCCAGCCGCCCGAGGGCAGGTGCAAACTGCATCGATTCTCTACGAAAGAGATGGAGCACCTTGCAATCAAGACACGCCAAGATGACATCCAGAACATGGATGATTTGATTGCCAGCGTAATATTGGGCTCTATGAAACTTCGAGCGTTCGTCGATGACACCAAAGCAAAGTAGAAATCGTCACTAGCGTAAGTCACAAGCATCTTACTCGGACCCTGGGCGCACTGCACTCACTCTAGTTTTTACCATTTCCCTCGTTTCAGTCGCTGACCCTTGGAACACATTCAGCAAAAAGATAGAAATCGAAAAAAACATGGACTCTACGAACGGAGACAAAATCTTCCAGGATATCCTGGAACGGGCCATCGACTTCCAAGCACATACCTTCATCAAGTACCAAAACGGCTTATGGAACCGAGCCACGGCACGTTCATCTGAACAGATTACTCATATTTCCTGTTTATTGCTCGACCACCACCATATTACCCCGAAGCTTTTGTCTACAGAGACGGCGCGTACGTTGCGAAGCGGGAAATCCCAGTCTTGTGCGCAGCGGAAGGGCAAATAAGATTCGAGAAACTGCATCAGGAATTCGTTAAACTGGGACTTATCCAAGAAGATGCACAAGTGGACGACGAAGATGAGGGGGACGATGGGGATGACGAATATGACGACGGTGACAACGATGCTTGAAGACGACGAAGCCTGAAGACGACGAAGCCTAGAGACGCAGACGAAGCAGGAAGCAAGCAACGTTGATTGGAACCCAATCAAGACAGCTGAAATACCGGACGTGCTAAGCTTGTGTTCCGCGGAGATGGCCTTTGGGAATGGGGTTTGTCGAACAGATTAGTGAACATAGGTAGTTGCGATCACGGAGTTAAGGTATGACATTGCATTAACGGCGGTGTAATGGAAATACCAGCTAGCTGAACCTTCGCGAGTAACTCCTGCGACGTTGCAGTGATTGGCGTGTTCCTTGTTCTGATGCCAGGTTATCCTTTCCAGAGCTATGTCCTGTGCTTTACACTGGTCGTCAATTGGATGGTGTTCCAGTCAAGTATGTGAAACGGCTTTTGACAGGTCTTGGCCTTCCTAGCTGCACGCAATTACGTCCCAAGTTTGTACGTGAAATAGTATATGTCTGTGAATGCCACTCAGACATCTACATTCTAGACAAGCATAGAGCTTAGAAGATTGGAGATAGAGACGACGATAGAGGCCACTAGACCCAGCAAAGAAGGAGATGTCTAACTAACAGCTGTCGGTCTAGACTTCAGCCGCCAGCCTCAACTTGGAGGGTAGTGGATAATTGTTCAAAACCCCCTTGTATTATCTGCTCATGTATACACTTGTATCGCAAGTCTATTGCGTTGTCGTACTCCTGTCGTCGCTGCACAGCCTCTATGCCCTCAAGAGTATACCTTGCTGCGTGTCTTAAGATTGCCTCTTTCGGTTGCTGAGAGCAAGCGTGTCTTAGACTTTGCCTAACGGTATTACCGTTGTAAATCTCTGGGCGGGCATGATCTCCTCTCTTTAGAGTTGCGCCGTCTCAGGCATTGAACAAGTCGCAACGTGCTCATTGCGTGCGTGGGTTGTGGGTAAAACGGCCCTGCATTAGTGCTGTCCAAGATGCGACCTCGGAGCGGTGATCGAAATCGAGACAGACACCTTCATCTCAAGTCATGATATATCCCAGGACCATGGAAAGGGGTTTCCCGTTGTTCGCGAGTGGTCCGGATGATCGGGCATCGTCCGGCGTACCAGCCTATCGGTAGCACTCCATCTGTGGGAGGTGTAAGCGACAGACTTTGAAGTCGCATTCAGCAAATTTTGCAGTTCGTTCGTCGTCGACGAAGCTGACGCGAAACATCCCCGTTTAACCTGAGGTAGGCAGCGTAGCATCCATTTGTAAGCTATGGCAGCAGCAGCAGTGCAGTGCTGCAGTGGCCCGCGGCCGCAAGTTCGTTAGCGAAATCGGCGACTGACTCGGTGGGAGATGACAGTGGGGAGGGGCTAAGTGATTTTTTAGAGTTACACGCCGTTAGGTCCTTTTGTTCCCCTTCTGCACAATCTGCTGTCGCTGGGCAATATAAGCTCATTGAGAGTTCGCGCGGTTCATCATCTCCTAGGATGAGGATGAGGCAAGAAGATGAGGCCGAGGTGCAGAGACCAACGTTGACGGTACACGGGCCTGGGATGGGCACTTATATAAATTGGTCGGCGGATTCGGCGCAGCATCGGCGGGATGCCACCGCCCAAGAGTGCGCGCCCTACTCCGTCAGGGACGAGGATACGGATAATACGAGAAGATTCGGCCTAATTTGCGGGCAGCAGGTCGGGGAGACGGACCCCACTCCCCGGACGCTTTGCCCGAACGGATTAGAGTTGGGCATTTAGACTTCACCCCTAAAACACAAGACCAGCATCAGGTTGCGTCGGGGGGCGCACTGCATCCCTTGGGGTATAAACCGCGTATGCGCCCATCCGCGCACTCGGACGGACATCTGAAAATCTCCGTCTCGAGAAGAGCCTGTTTGCCCAATTTGCGAGAAGGGCCAGACAGCAAGAGAGAGAGAAGAGAGAGTGAGAGAGAGCGAGAAAGGAGAGAAGAGAGAAGCGACCAAGTTGGACGAAAAGGGAAAGGAAAGCGACGACGACAAGACGAAGGAAGAGAAAGAGGTGGGCGACGATCAGTCGAAGGATTCAACGCTACGGAAGCAAACGCCGAAACCGACGAGAGACACCGACGAAGAAAACCGGTGAGGAGAGCCAGCCAGTCAACCAACCAACCAGCCAGAGAGAAGACAACGACAAAAGAGAGGGATTAACGAGCGGTTAGTAGGGGTCTTTTCCCGCGGCGCTGGCACTCACCCCTCCATGACACATGCTTTTCTGGCCCCCAAACCCAACCACCCACCACCCTAAGCCCCCGAGCCCAAACACCGTCGCCCTGTCTGTTTGACGCAAGCAGCAGCGACGCTCAGCTGGCCTTTTCTTTCTTCTCCTTTACCCTTTTTTCTTAACCCGGTACGGTACGGTCTCCAACTTGCCCGCGCGCGAAGAAGGTGAGGGCAAAAAAAGAGGGGAAAAAGGAGGGACCACAGGCCACGGATATTTGGTTTCGTCCTTTCGTTCTCGGTTCCAACAGCTTGGGGAAAGCAAGAAAAAAAGAGTTGCAGGTCGAGAAACAATCAGTAACGTAGACCGCACGCCGAACAAGTCCGGTTTTATTTGTGCCAAGAGCGAGGAACCCCCCAAAGAGCGAAACCGAGGGCTTCCTCACAGAGGGAAAAAAAAAAAAAAAAAAAAGTTATGGAGCAGAGCCCCGAAGCTCAGCAGTCACCGCCAGACGGACAAGCGGCCAACCGCGGGTCCGACGCACTTCCGAGGCCGCGTCCGTTGGCTTGCACTCCATGTCGGCGCCGCAAGGTATGTTGATGAGATCGTCCTCTTCCACCCCCTCCCCGTACCCATGGATCGCGTGGCCGCCTGCCCCGTCCGGCCCTGTGAATGGGTGAAGCTGAGGAGCCGGCCCATCAGGGGAGCGCGGCAATTCTCGCCGTGGTGGATTTGGGGCGGGCACGCA